AAACATTCTAGAGTCCTTGATTGCTCACTCATCCTTCCATTCATTTATTCAATAAACATTTATTAAGTTTCTATTATGTGTCAGATGTTGTGCAAATTCTTACGATAATAAAAAGATGTATGAGACATAGACATTTTATTTAGTCACTCAACAATGTTTGAAGATCTACTCTGTACAAGGTGCTATGGATCAATAAAGGGAATAGTCCAGCTTAAAACAACACAACAAAAATAAACTCTTGACTGCACTGGCCATAACATCTTTTTACTGAGATCTTCATGGCACAACTTCTTGATGAACAGGTATTTTTTTAATGGTCACTCCCTTCACTTCTTCCTTCTACTCCTCAACACACAGATGAATTGTGTGCTGTACTTTCCAGTTGAGCTTTCAACCCAAATGTTCGAGGAAATTGCTCTTACCAAATTACTTAGGATGTTGCCAAAACCAATGGTCAATTTTCTTCCTATTGGATTTGATGCATCCAACATAGTGGACCACACTCTTCTTGAAACACTTTCTCCAGTTGACTTTTACAATGCCATCCCCTCGTAATTGTCATCCTGTCATCAACTCCTACTCAGTATCTTTAGCTGGCCCTTCCTCCTCTGTTCAACCTCTCAATGTTGTTATTTCTATTCCAGTATTCAATCCAGAAATTTTTTCTTTTATCCATCAATATTCTTACCCTAGCTATTTCATCTAATCCTGTATTTTTAAAATCTATTCTATACTTTTCATGTACAAATTGACCTCTCTAGGACTAGCATAAGGGGTGTAATTATCCTAAAGTAACCCAGGAATTTAATAAGCTGGCCAAGAAGAGGGATTTTCCTTTTCCCAGCATGAACGATTGTGCCTACTTAACTCCCTGTACAATGGGTGGCTTTCTCCCCCAAGAAAAAGGAAACTCTTTGCACAAGTTCCAAGGTCTCTAGGTGCTGGGCGGTTGATTTTCCCAATCTTGTGAGCAGCTGGCACCTAAATCCAGACTGTTTCACACCAACAGCCTGTGTTCCTCCATTGATAAGGCTGTGTCCTTGTGCTTACATGATAAAAAATTATAATAAAGGAAACTAGTGTTTCTAACAGTGGAATGAAGACTCACATTGTGAGCCCAGCAATCTTTTGACAATTTATGCATCAGCATAGGACAGGAGGATGGGGAAATCATGCCATCTATTCTTTTGCTGACCAGTAATCTCTGTGAGTTTTCCTAATACAGCATATTATTTAATCCATGATTATCATATTGAGAAATTCTTCACAAACTCTGACGCCAATAGATGGTAACTCAGATGGGTATCACTTTACACAGCATGCTGACCTTCCCTGAGCATGTGGACAATTTCGTTGTCTCAGTGTCACATGTATAAACAACTATCTTTTTTTCCCATTGAATTACCTTTCTCAAAATCAGTTGGTCATATGAATTTAGGCCACTAACTCACACATAAGCAAAATTTCCCTCCAAATGGATTATAGGCCTAAATGTAAGGGCTAAACTATACACTTCTTAAAGAAAACAGAGATTACCATATTCATGACATTGGATTAGGCAAAAGCTTAAGTTTTCCCGGTAGAAGGAAAATAGTTGAAAAATGAGACAGGATCAAAACTAAAAATGTTTGCATTTTAAAAGAAATCAGCATCAATAAGAAAGTGAAAGGATAAGCCACAGACTGGAGAAAAAAAATTAACTTATGTATTTGACAAAGGACTTGTATCCAGAATGTAAAATACACACACAACAAAAAGGTAAATAACCCAATTTTAAAATGGGCAAGATATTTGAATAGCCATTTCACCAAAAAGGTGTAGGAATGGCCAGTCACATGTCACAATGTCATCACATGACAAGATGGTCAGCGTCATCAGTCAGCAGGGAAATGCAAGTCAAAACTACAGTGAGACACCGCTTCTTACCCACTGGAATGCGGCAATAAAAAAGAAAGACAATAACAACTGAGGAAGTGAAAACACCACGCTGTGGCGAAACTAAAATACTCATGCATTGCTGATGGGACATGCAGCCATGTTCAAAAACATTTTAGCAGTTTCTTAAAACATTAAAGACACATTTATCATATGACCTAGCAGTTTCACTTCTATCTGTCTACCCCAAAGAAATAAAAATCTATGTCTACACACCAAAAGAATGTGAATATTCATAGCAGCTTTATCCATAATGCACTTTGGGAGGCCGAGGTGGGCGGATTACGAGGTCAAGAGACAGAGACCATCCTGGCCAACGTGGTGAAACCCCATCTCTACTAAAAATACAAAAATTAGCCAGGCATGGTGTTGTGCACCTGCAGGCCCAGATACCCGGGAGCCTGAGACAGGAGAATTGCTTGAACCTAAGAGGCAGAGGTTGCAGGGAGCTGAGATTGCACCATTGCACTTCAGCCTGGCGACAGAGAGAGACTCCATCTCAAAGGAACAAAACAAAACAACAACAACAAAAACTGGAAACTCATTAAATATCTATCAACTAATAAATGAATAAACTAATGGGAGCCATCCACACAACTTAATAGGATTTGGCACCTAAAAGGAATGAAATCTTGATATGTGCTACCACATACATGAACTGCAAGAGTATATTAAGCCAAGTGAAAGAAGACAGATACAAAAAACCACGTATTGCATCATTTCATTTATATGGTGTCCAGAGAATCAAATCTGTGGAGTCAGAAAGTCAATTAGGGCCTGCCTAGAGCTAGCTGGGGGTTTACGAATAAGGAATGGCAACTGAGGAGCATGAGGGATTCCTTAGGAAAGACAGAAATGTTCCCAAACAAGATTGTGATGATGGCCACACAAGTCTAAAATTTTACTAAGAATAATTGAACTGTACACTTAAAACAAGTGATTGTTATGATATGTCAGTAATACCTCAGTAAAGCTGTTTAAAAACAGAAAGTTGGTTGTATGGCCCCCACCAGCCTTGCTCCTTGTCTTATTTCTCACTTTCCTAAAGAAAATAAGATATCTATTGGTTTAAAGGAAGCTTACAGTATTGCTTCCACCCAGAGACTCTGAGAGATACTGGCTGAAATCTATCAGCCTCCAGAATTCTCAGCAGCTGAGGGAAGGTCCGACCCCGTCCTGAAGGTGATTGGAGGTCTGTAAGGTGCACTCCAGCATCTGCTACAGCAGGCAAAGGTGTGTGATGCACCTGAGTGGTCTCAGGTAGTGCTCCACACGTCTCAGCAAGGCCCAGCACTTGCAGCTAGTTCTGAGAGCTTCAGAGAACAAGCTGCTACATCTTGCAGCCCAGGGCCAACCTCTTCTAGGCAAGTGGGTTTGAAGCGTTGCTAGTCAGGTCCCAGGTAGTAGTTGAATGTCTACAACACGGAAGGAGGGGAAGACCCACAGTGGGGTTTCAACGAAATCATTTGTAGAGTATTACTTCCAACAACTGCAGAAAGCATTCTTTTTGAGTGTTTACAGCATTTTCACCAACAAAGACCATATGCTGCACCATAAAACAAGTCTCAATATATATTCAAAGATCAAAATCATACACAGCATATGCTTTGGCCACAATAGTATTTAATTAGAAATCCATAACAATAGGATATCTAGAAAACCTCCAATTTTAGAAAACAAGCAACATGCTTCTGAATAATACTTGGATCAAAGAAAAACATCACACACAAAAAATCAAAACATCATTAACTAGATGATGATAACCTAATGCATCAAAATGTTGGATACAGCTTACATGATGTTTAGAGAGAATTTTACAACTTTAAATGCCTATAGTGGAAATGAGCAAAAGAGTAGTCAATTACCATGCTTTTATAATAAGAACCCTGAAAAAGAAGAGTAAAATAAGCCCAAAGTTAATAAATAAAATTAATGAAATCATAAAGTTAATGAAAATCATGAAATAGAAAGATGAACAAACAATAGAATCAATCAACAGTCAATTCTTCTACACTTTATGAACAAAACCCTAATTCAGAGTGATTTTATATTTAAATGTATATCCAGAACCACAAAGATCTTAGAAGAAAAAATTAGGAAAATACAGAAATAAAATGGGAATTCTGTGGGAATAAAAATCTGAAACTAATTGTCTACCAGGTAAATGGGGAAAGGGTAGGAAATTAACTAAGAACAGGCAGAAAAACGTCCTGGAGTGAAGGAAATGGCTTATATCTTCTTTTGGGTGGTACTTACATGGACATATACAACTATCAAAGTTCACTGGCACTGCACACTTAAGTGTACACTGAACGCTTAAGATATAGGCCTTACAATGCATGTAAATTACATCTCGATTTTTTTAACTAGAAAAAAGTGTCTTGGGGACTTTATGGCAGTGATGTTTGGGCAGACAGGGGCATAGGTTTCAGAAGGATTCATAGAATCTTCCATTCAGAAATTTGCTAAGAATGGTTTTGCAGCCAAAAATATAAGATAAGTGCACATATCCTTTTGGTAAGAGTCATTGGGGCATACAGCTACAAATCCCCACACTTGTAGTGCAGGCCATATAGTTAATTTGTTATCACTAGATACCTTTGTTTCAATGAGGTTCTTCCACTAGGAACCCGGAGGTCTCCAAGGGAAAATTGCAATTGAGGTTTTGGATTTACCAGTGGAAAAGAAAGTCACCTCACATAAAACTTAGTGATTGGAGCTGTCACCATCGTAAATTTCTAAACTTTGCAAGACAGCAGCAACATTTCAAATGATACTCTGAGAGGGGAGTTAATGGGCTAACGTGGATTTCCCTCGAGGTGGATTTACTGTACAAGGGCAAAATTTACGTTACACTTGGAGATTTCTCCCAGTTTGGTTCAACTTCAGAGATTGCGGACCCCAGGCAGCTGGTATCAACTGACCAATGTTCTGTTAAGGCTAAACCCAAGGCTCTTTATCACAGCGGCCTTAAGATTGGACTTCTCTTCCTGTTTCTGGGAAGAATTAGAGATATAACTTAAAGGTCACTATTCTGTGAAAAGGGATCCTGGAGGAGGAGGGAGCAATGAGTATATGGCAGGAGTTCAAGGTGATAAGGGCTGAGCCAGAAGCCACAGAGCATAAAGTCCCAGTGCTGCCTCCAGGGATGAGGCAACGAGGACCCCGACTCCTCTATCCAGGCTAACCTACGGTTAGAGCTTTTTCTTTCCTTTTAACTACTCCTGGCAGTAGTCAGGTCATGGAATTTTTGCAAAAAATGGGTGGAGGAAAATAAGGGATGTGTCTGAGCATACAACCATTTTACCTCTGTTTTTAGCTTTCTTCAGGGTCACCCTAGAATCAGATCTGCTCCCCAGCATCTTCTGTTTCCTGGTGAGTGTTTCCTGCTACCTTGGATTTTCCATGATGGGCTGGAGCTGCCTTGTGACGGGAGCAGGAGGCTTTCTGGGTCAGAGGATCATCCGCCTGTTGGTGGAGGAGAAGGAGCTGAAGGAGATCAGGGCCTTGGACAAGGCCTTCAGACCAGAACTCAGGGAGGAATTTTCTAGTAAGTAAACTTGGGTCATGGGTGTGTCGTCCATCTTAAACTCTGCATGGGTGTGGGGACGTGGACTTTGTCTAACATGTTATGGAAAGTTGCAGCCAAATGAAAGCCAATTCCACATCCAAAGTCATCAGAAAGGAGGTAGGATAAATAAAATGGTATAGTGTGAAAGGTACTTGATGGGGTGTTCAGAGACTGGATTCTGGCCCTGCCCCGGAACTTGAGAGGCAGCCACCTCCGCCTCCAGGCCTCTTTTCTTCTCTCCTAGAAAATCCCACCTCAGTTCTTTTTTGTCTACAACTCTTTTATGTTCTGAAGCTTTTTGTCTTGACAATTGCTGTGCAATATTCACAATGGACATCATTTACCTGGAGATTTCACCAGGGGTTCCCTGTGTCTCCAGACTGCCCCAGGCTTTGTTTCATTTGATAGCTTCCTTAGCATCTTTAATGATGGCAAAATAAAAGGAAGTGAAGGTACAAATGTGTGTGTATGTATGTGTGTGCCAGAAAGAGAAAGAAAATGAGGGGGAAAGAAAGTCAGAGAGAGAGAATCAGAAAGACAGACAACAAATGAGAAAAATAGTGTGAGAGAGAGCATCCGTAAGAGAGAGAGAGCGAGAGAGAGAGAGCATTAGTGAGAGAGAGAGAGAGAGAGAGCATCAGTGAGAGAGTGAGAGAGAGCATCAGTGAGAGAGTGAGAGAGAGCATCAGTGAGAGAGAGTGAGAGAGAGCATCAGTGAGAGAGAGCATCAGTGAGAGAGAGAGTGAGAGAGAGCATCAGTGAGAGAGTGAGAGAGAGCATCAGTGAGAGAGAGTGAGAGAGAGCATCAGTGAGAGAGAGTGAGAGAGAGCATCAGTGAGAGAGAGGGCATGCACAAGTGCACAGCACAGAGCAGAGACAGACTAAGAAGCAGTAAGAGGCCAGACATGCTGCATTTATATTTCTCATATATGGCCTTATTTTTTTAACCATTTGTCTCTGTTGCTCAACACCCCAAAGAAATTGACTGCAGAATTTGCTGTAGTAAATCCTTGCGCAAATAACCCTGTGAGGAAGGTAGATAAAAGGTCACATCCAACTGGACAATAAACCCACCAAGGTCCAGAAACATAAAGTGACTTGCCAAGACTCGCTGATGAATGTGCAGCAGAGCTCAGACCAGAGCTTCATCCAGAGGCTTCATCGCTTCACTCCGGGGCTGATCCTTGGCAAAGTGAGTCTTCAGTCGCTCCCTTTGCCTCTCTGTGGGCCCCAGACCAATTCCCTGTGCTCCTCCCAACCCAGGGGATTGGGGGATGTGGGTTCTGGCTGCCTAGAAGGTCCAGCCCTGCCCACACAGACCCCCCGACCCCCTGCCTTGGCAGCAGTCTGGGACCATACCCAACACCCTGCTCTCCTTTCACTCTTCTCTGACCTCTTTTGATTTCCTCCACCCTCTGTTTTAATGGTGTCCTTGATAAACAAATATTAACACATGACCAATATTAAATGTTTGTAATCCTTAGGTCTCAGCAATATTTGCAATCTAACACCTGATGTCAGGAAAAAGGAATGTCCAGCCTAGAGGAACAGCTCTCCTATGGTGAAAATGCAGGGGTTGTACCGGATGGGCAGGGGTCTGTACCAAGATAAAACGGAGAATCCTTTCAGTGTTCTTTCTGTGCCGGGCACTGTATAAAGGTTTTGCTCACTCATGACTCCTCGTAACAACTCTATGAGATCAGCAACATTATTATCCCTTTTTACAGATGAGAAGACAGGCACAGAGAGGTTAATCAACTTGTCTAAGCTCCCATAGTTAGACTATGGCAAAGCTGGATTTGAACCCAGACAGTCCAGTGCCGCATCTGTGCTCTTAAACAGTGCCTTGTCTAGCAGCTTCTCCAGACCCCCTCTAGCTCAGCTCACACCATGTAAGCAACTGCATTTAGTCGACATAAAACACTTGCCAAGTCCGCAGGAAAAGGAGGGAGCTATGGCTCCATCCAAAAAGTGCCCTTTTCTGGTCTCTCTAGATCCCTGGGTACTCACTGGGGAAGAGTCATTTTCTACAGGTTTTGGCTTATTCTGCTTTGAAATAGCAATTCCTTTGAGCCAGTCTAACTGAAGCTAGCAGCAAAGGAGAAGCAGAAGAAGGGAGCAGGAAGGGCAGAGGGGGAAATACAACCAGAGAAAACTCCACTCTCAGGCTGCCACCACCTCCTCCCCAGCAGCCTCTTCCCTGCGTCCCCCACTGCAGGGCCTTCCTGGAGCTCCCAGGACAATGGAAGGGGCTGGGAGTAGACAAAACACGGCAGAGGCATCGGGAGAGCCAATGGTCCCGCCTGTACCCCAGGAAGGAATTTCTCCAGCCTTGAATTTTTCGTTCTGAATTTTGCTCTCACTGTTGTTGTCCTTTGCTGCCAACTTCAGTTAAACTGATTTATTCTTTTTCTTTGTTCTTTAATCTTTCTCAGAAAAGTTGATTCTAAACAGCCAGTCCTGCACCCGGGGGACAGGATACAAAGCTTGAGGTGGGGCGGGCAGGTCTGAGCCTTCACGAGAAGCCTGACCTGGGATCTGTCCTTTAACTTCTCTGAGCCTGTTTCCTCACTAATACAGGGGGACTCAGAACGCCTGCCTCACGAGATAGCTGTAAAAGGAAATAAGCAAGCTGTGAGCCGTGCGCAGATGATAGAGCATGAATGAGTGTAGAGTGTTTATCTGAGCTCCATGTAGCACCGTGTTCATTGCGAGGGCTAACTCCAGGTGACAGCTTTACTGCAGCATCACTTCCTGTGGATTTCAGAGGAACCTGAAGGTGTCGGTGCTGTATCCTCTGCCCTTGGCTAGACACTAGATGGCTGGGATGTTGGTTCATTGGTGGCTGACTCATTTTCAGCATTGCTATCTGCTTTTGATGGTATCTGATAAGAGTTTTTCAATGAAATTCATGATTTAAGCCCATCTGCAACTCCTGAGTAAGGGCTCCACTCTCCTCCCCGTTGTCCAAGCAGGAGACTGTAGGGGTGATTTTAGTCGTGTCTCTTTCCTGTCAGCCCAGATCCAATAGGTACAAGGACATTTTCTAAGCCTGGGTGTGAAATTCAAACACGGCGTATCTCTGGGATCCTGGTTACGGTCCTCATCAAAACTTTGGCACCGACATTCTGGTTAATCTCTCGATCATCTTGTTTTCTCTTCTATCCCCTATACCAGTCCATTTTATATCCTCATGCCAAGGTAAACACTCTATGCCACAACTCTGCTTCTGCTTCTCTTTTATTGTTATTACTATTATTTTGAGACCGTGTGTTTCTCTGCCACCAAGGCTGGAGTGCAGTGGCGTGATCTCTATTCACTGCAACCTCTGCCTCCCAGACTCCATCCATCGTCCCACCTCAGGTTAGTGATTAGCTGTGAGTTTAGGCATGTGCCATCACGCCTCGCTAATTTTTCAAATTTTAGTAAAGACAGGGTTTTGCCATGTTTTACAGCCTGGCCTTGACCTCCAGGACTCAAGTGATTCACCACCTCAGAGCCCCAAAGTGCTGGAATTACAGGCATCAGCCATTGTGCCTGGCCTGTTTCTCTACTGATTCCAATATAAATAAGGGGTTTCTTTGACATAAGAGGAAAAGTTTGAATTTAATTCTGTAGGTAATGAGGAATCATTCTTTTCAATGAAAATCATTCATTGAAAAGAATGATTCCTCATTACCTACAGAATTAAATTCAAACTTTTCCTCTTATACCCAACTCTCCACACTCACTCTATTCTCCATAAAAAAAAATTGGTGACTCTTGCATGACTCTAGGAATGCTTATATTCCAGGCACATCTGATAGCTCACTGTTCAGATTGCTTTTCTGGAATAAGATAGGGTATAAACAGATGTTTTCTCTTCCCCAGTAAACTGCTACCCATGCTTATTTCTGTGGTTTTGTTTACTTGTTTCTTTTATGAAATGTACACCCTCCATTCTAACACCCCAGTCTTGCCATCCTTGAACAGCTGTGTAACATCACCTTACCAGAAAACTTCCCAGCCAGATCCAGAAATCCCTCCAATGACCTGACCTGTGTTCACACAGAGCTCCAGGGCAAGACCAAGCTGACGATGCTGGAAGGAGACATTCTGGACGAGTCATGCCTGAAGAGAGCCTGCCAGGACATCACGGTCGTCATCCACACGGCCTCTATTGTTGATGTCTTCAGTGTCATTCACAGAGAGACTATCATGAACGTCAACGTGAAAGGTACCGTAGCCAGGGGAGGAGATGGAGCAAGGTGGGGAAATAGGATCAGAAAGAAGGACAAGGAAGGGAAGAGAAGTCCCTCCACTGAACATCTGCTGAGCTCCGAGCCAAGTGCCTTTGCTGATTATTCTGACTGGGGAGTTCAAGGCTGCTATCCTCAGTTTTTCAGATGAGAAAACTAGGGCCGAGAGCCAGCAAGTAACTTGTCCAAGGCCCCACAGGTAAGTAAGTAAAGTAGGAGAGTCAGACTTTAAACTCATGCCTGTGGGACTCTAAAGGCCGTGGAAGCTCTTTCTACTGTGGCCCCAATCAAAAGTCAACTAAATTCCAACTTCATACTCATGATATCCAGCCACACCTTGGCTCCCTGGGCCAGAATCAGACCTTCCAGGTGCCACCACAGTCATCATGTTGAACCTTGTGTGCAGGCTGATGAGAACATTCGGAACCCTCCTGCCCATCTGAAAGATGAAGTCCTCTCAGGAGAACTGGCACAGCTGGTTCACAGAGGTCTGTCAGGACAGAGTCACCCAGCACACGCCTTCCCACAGTAGTTTCTGAACAATGAGAGTTTCCCAGGACACAGAATACGATCTCTCCAGCTCACCACAGGGCCTGTGATTACAGAGCGGTTTCCAGCTAGGTGCCCAAAGTGCCACCTCATTCCACCCTCATCCCTTAAATGCTTGGGAGTTCCTCCAAATTATGGCTTTCCAACGACCTTAAATTCAGACACATTTCATTAAGGAATCTTCTCATGCAGTTTCACCTCTGATTCCCAGAGCCCAGTCTCCTCAGCCCCACAGCACCCCAACCCCCAGTCTCAGTCTGCACATTCAGTCTGAAGCCTTTTCTAAAGCAACTAATTGCTTTTGAGTCTCCAGTACCATCTCAAAAAACAAACAGACAAACAAAATACACTTCCCAGTTTCTAATTAGCCAACCCGTAAGTGCCGCTACAGTTCAAGGAGTGGGCTAAGAGTAAACAACTTTTTGTTTTAATTTTTTACTCTCCACAGCTCCCAAAAACAGAGGATAAGAAATGACAGGGAAGTGTCAGGGGCATCTGTTTCCTAAAACCATTATCACTCCCAGGCTTGGAAAATACTTCACAGTGATGGTCATTTCATGAGGCTGAACTCAAACTGTGTAGACATTAAAAGTGGCTAAGAACACAAAAATAAGTAAATACAAGTGATCCTTTGCCTAGGATTTTGTCTTTCTTCAAAGGAAGGCACTCTGGATACCTCCATGAGATTTGCTTCCACACAGCTCAGGGGAGGCTGGAAGGTCCTCCCAGTGCAGGTGTCACCAGCAGAGGGCGCACTCCCTCCCCAGTCTTCCACCAGGCTCCACAGGAAATGCCAGGGTGGGGTTTAAAGGAAGGTTTATCACCCCCACTTTACATAAGTGGGTAAACAGAGTCAGCCAGAATTGGAAGCGGCTTTCCCAGGGAACACACAATCAGGAAAAGAGTGTGGATCTCCAGCATCTCCCTACAACCCACTGTTTGCTCAGAGACACCAGGGATGGTCCTTGTGACAAAGTTTTATTAGTTCACTCAAAATGATAAAAATACCAGGAATTGCATGTATCTAAGAGTGTATATCGCCTAGATTCAACTGTGAATTTGTGTGTGTAATGCACATTCTTCCACTGTCCTTTTTTGCCTAAGACTCACTGGCACTGTTCATTTTCTCAGAGTATAGCCTCCTGATTTTTTAGATTTTAAATGATCTGTCTTTAATTGTATTGATGACAAGTTATAATGTTTCAATATCCTTACATGACAAAATATAAAGTGATTACCCTCGGTCCTTCTCCAAAATTACACACACACACACACACACACACACACATCCCCCCACACACAAACATAGGTCTGTGAAACCCAAAAGTCTTGCTCTCTAGAACCCAAAGGTCAGTTGCTTTTATTTTTGTGTTTTTCCTGTGGTTGTAGCATGACCCAATCTTAGTCAGAACCAAAGAAGAAAGCAGCCTGAGTCTGTTATAACCCCTGCACTTGGGAGTGGGGAGTGGGGAACATGGATTTATGCACGTGGTTGGGGCCCCTTAGGGGTACTTCCTGACACTGACAGCTTGCTCTTCGTGGGCAGGTACCCAGCTCCTGTTGGAGGCCTGTGTCCACGCTAGTGTGCCAGTCTTCATCTACACCAGCACCCTAGAGGTGGCTGGGCCCAACTCCTACAAGGAAGTCATCCAGAACGGCCACGAAGAACAGCCTCTGGAAAACACATGGTCTGCTCCCTATCCCTACAGCAAACAGCTTGCTGAGAAGGCTGTGCTGGAGGCTAATGGGTGGACTCTCAAAAATGGTGGCACCTTGTACACTTGTGCCTTAAGACCCATGTATATCTATGGAGAGGAAGGCCCATTCCTTTCTGCCACTATAAATGAAGGCCTGAACAACAGTGGGATCCTGCCAAGTGTTGGCAAGTTCTCCACAGTCAACCCGGTATATGTTGGCAATGTGGCCTGGGCACACATTCTGGCCTTGAGGGCCCTGCGGGACCCCAAGAAGGCCCCAAGTGTCCGAGGACAGTTCTATTACATCTCAGATGACACGCCTCACCAAAGCTACGATGGCCTTAATTACACCCTGAGCAAAGAGTTTGGCCTCTACCTTAATTCCAGCTGGAGCCTTCCTTTACTCCTGATGTACTGGATGGGCTTCCTGCTGGAAGTGGTGAGCTTCCTGCTCAGCCCAATTTACACCTATCGGCCCCGCTTCAACCGCCACACAGTGACGTTGTCAAATAGCGTGTTCACCTTCTCTTACAAGAAGGCTCAGCGAGATCTGTCATATAAGCCGCTCTACAGCTGGGAGGAAGCCAGGCAGAAAACCGTGGAGTGGGTTGGTTCCCTTGTGGACCGGCACAAGGAGATGCTGAAGTCCAAGACTCAGTGATTTAAGGATGACGGGGATGCCCACGTGGGTATTGTCGGGAGATGCCGTGAAGCTCCACCCTCCTGGCTTCGCACAGAAGGTGACAAGAGCACACGCCCAGGTCCTGCTGCCTCCTTTCACACAATGGCCAACTTACTGTCATCCTTGCATCATCAAAACCTGTGCAATCACTGGCCCAACTGAAAGCTTTCTGTCCTAATCATATACCAGAGGAAAGACAATGTGATTTGCTTTTTCCAAATCTCAGTGGCTGATTCTGAACAATTTGGGGTCTCTTTTAACTTGAAGGTCTCTTTTGACTACTAGAGCTCCATCTCCTCTTTTAAATGAGAAAGCATTTCTTTTCTCCTTAATGTCCTCTTCTTTCACCTAATTCAACGAAAAGAGCAATAAATAATTTAATGCTTAACCTGAAGGGAGGCATGGTTTCTGTTAATACATACTTTCTTCCTTTTCCTTTCATTTCCAAGTATCACCGTCTCCAACTTAGAAAGTAGCATGAAACTGGGTTTGTGGGGTGGGCAGATTAGTAGGAGAGTCAGGAAGGGCGAATGAAGACTCAATAAGCTCTCCTGCACTCCAAGTATGTATGAAATGACCTACATATATCATATATTGCTTCACTTAATACTCATTAGAAACTTGTCAGTTAAGGAAAATGACAAGAGACGTCTCAATAATTTTAGGTGATTTATTTGAAGATGTGCCCAGGAGACAGGGCTATGCCTTTCTTGAAAGGTGATTTTGAGGGCTCCAGTTCAAAGGGGAAAGAGAGGGATATTGAGAAGCACACAGTTTTTATGTAAGGGGGCGGTAGGGAAAAATAATCATTCATGCTTTTGGCTCAGTGAATCTGCCTTTTTTTACATAAGATGACATAAACAACGGGGGCAGAGGAAAAATGCAGGGAATCTGAATTTTACATAAGATAACACAGACAAATGGGGTAGGGGAACAATCAGATATGCATTTGTGTCTGGGGTGACTGTACCTATAATGATAAGCTATCCATTTGCATGGCCATGGTGAAGTTTTAACAGCTCACTAGGAAATTCCCGTGGGCAAAACACGGGGGAGGCGTGTAGCTTTTCATCTTGTAGCCATATTATTTAGGAACCAAAAGGGGGGCAGGTTTGTATGACCCAGTTCCCAGCCTAACTTTTTCCTTTGGCTCAATGAATTTGGGGTCCCAAAATTTAATTTTTTTGCACATTTTCCCCCTTTTTTCTTTAAAACCTTTTGGAGTACAGCATTTTGAAAGAAATATGCATTCCTGGCCTCAGATTACTTTTTCTTCCTTTTCTGCTGGTTTCTTGTGGCTAGGATGGTTTATTCCTAGAAGTTCAGGTCCCACATCACTAGAAGGGCTCATTCCTGGGAGGTTATGTCCCACATTGCTAGGGAGGCTTATTCCTAGGAAGTCTTGTCCCATGAAAATTACAAAAAAAAAATTAAGGGGCTGTGGAAGAAGGGGAAAGGAAAGAAAATCAGAAAGAGAGAGTAGAAAGAGAGAAAGAGAGAAGAAAATATATAGGGACCTAGGCCAGATTTATAGCAACAAAAGGAAAACAAACCTGGAAACTGAGTCAGGTATATTACTTCCTCCTCAATTAGAGCAATTCTCTGGGCAATAATTACCCTAGCCCTTTGAGTTGCACATTGACTTATTTGCAAGCACATACCATAAGAACATTGTAAGGAAAAACAGGACAAAACACACATGATTATTATTATTCCTATTATAAGCAATACTTTCTACCACCATGTTCCCCAGGATCCAAGCCGACCACCCAACCAATCCATTAGTGAGGGTATGGATCTGACAGGTTGGTTATCTCAGTTTTCATATCAGTCATAAGTTGCATTATTTTCTTTGATTCATCTGGAGTATACAGGCAACATTTAGTTTTTATGACGGCATAGGTGCCCCCTCGTGCTGTCTGAGTATCTAAAGCCATATGATTTTGCAGTACAGCTTTCCTCATAAGCATAACCTCTTGATTTAGCCGGGGGTACTCATGGGGCCATCATTCAGGGCCTTTTGGTGTAATTGGTTAAGACCTCTATATGCCATATAACATCTTCAATACCTATCTGTGGTACAAAGAGTGAAGCTAAATGATCATATCGTTGGAATACTGAACACATCCAATGAGACTGTAAATGAAAAAGGCTTCCTGGTTTTGGCAGGGCCTGAATTACTTGTCCTTGTGCCCAATCATAACCTAGGGAACATCATCCTAACTGCCCTGGAGGTAACCGTGGCCTTAAGTTAGTCCCACACAACCGAAATGTCCCATTTGGACCTAGGCAATAAATATCTGGTCACTGCACCAAATTGGTGGCATGCCAGTAAGTGTCTTGTGATATTATAATGTGGCCACAGTGTTATCCAGGTATCCACCCCACATCTCTCGTACTGTTTGGCCATAGGTCCTTGGTGTGATTTCTTGGCTCCCAGCACAAAGAAACATTTTGGCTAAGTTGGCCAAAGCAGGGGTGAGCCAGGCAAATTCATCGCCAATTTGCATTATTCCATTCTGAAAATGGACCGTCGTTTGGGGTGTTGTTTGATATTCTATCCAGTCTTGACCTTGGAAGGGGAATACCCACCACGGCAGGTCACAGCCACTGGAAATAGCAATGAGCCCACATATCCACAGGTGTCCTTTTGTAATCTATCTGCACAATCCTGAGCACAATTTAGAAACAGGTTTGTTTCATGGGCATCAGTGCGTGCCAGTGGCAAGAAGGTATAGGGATATATGATTAATAATATCAGGGTTGTGAAATGCATTTTAGTTACTAAAAGATGCTAAATTAGACAAAGCAAATGCCCTGCTATTTATAAGACAGCAGTTGCCAATATAACTAGGACAATAATTGTAATGGTTATTGTACAATGAACAGAGACATTTCTTTGTATACAGGTCTGGCCCTGGGTTTAAGCAGTCCACAATAGCCGTCATCTGCTTCTAATTTTGAGTTTAAGGTCGATGTTTAGTGAACTGGAGGTAGAGGTCTTTGGTGGAAGTTACAGTTCACTCAGGAAGCTGTGCCTTTTTTTTTTTTGAGACGAAGTCTTGCTCTGTCACCCAGGCTGGAGTGCAGTGGCATGATCTTGGCTTACTGCAGCCTCCACCTCCTGGGTTCAAGTAATTCTCCTGCCTCAACCTCCTGAGTAGCTGGAATTACAGGCACCCACCACCATGCCCAGCTAATTTTTGTATTTTCTTTTTTTTTTTAGTAGAGTCAGGGTTTCACTATGTTGGTCAGGCTGGTCTCGAACTCCTGACCTCAGGTGATCCACTTGCCTCGGCCTCCCAAAGTGCTGGGATTACAGACATGAGCCACCACGCCTGGCTGAGGTTGTGCCTTTTAAGATGAGTGATGTGAATCCAAGAGTCTATACCCTCTAATTTTGTGGCACAGGGATTAGTTAATAGCACCTGGTAAGGGCCCTTCCATCGGGGCTAAAGGGAATCCTTAATTAGATGTCTTTTCCAATAGACAAAATTTCTAGGTTGCAGATTGTGACCAGGCACCTTATCTTCAGGGAGCGCACTGTGAAAAGAATTATTTACCAAATCTTGACTTTTTTTAAAGGTGATAAATAAATCCCTCATAATATTGCAATATATGTTCCCTGAGAAAAGTTGGATTGGTCATGTTTGTTCCCATACACATGGGCCTTCCCATTATAATTTCGTAACGGGACAATTAATTTTTACAAAAGGGGTTGATCGGAGTGTAAGCAGCACTGGGGGGAGTGCTTTGGGCCAGGGGAAGGAAAATGCCCTGTGAACTTAGCTAATTGTGTTTCTTTTTTTTTTTTTTTTTTTTTTTTTGAGACGGAGTTTCACTCTTTTTACCCAGGCTGGAGTGCAATGGCGCAATCTCTGGCCAATTGCGTTTTAATTATTCCATTTGTCCTCTTCGCCAGGCCTGACTACTGGGGATGGTAGGCACAATGAAAATGTTGAAATGTGGGTCAAATTTTACAAATATTTTGAATAACCTGGCCAGTGGAGTGAGTTCCCCGTCACTGCGCAGTTCACAGGAGACTCCCCATGGTGGGATAATATTTTCTAGTGGGATTTTTCCAACTGCCATGGCTGTTGCTTGCTTACAGGGAAAAGATTCAACCCAATGGGAAAACATGCAGACCATTACTAAAACATACTTCTAACCTTAAAATGATGGCAGTTGGATAAAATCAAGGCGTCATACCTCAAGAGGTCCATCCGGAAGGGAAAAATGACCCTGGGCCCCATGGAGGGGATTTCCTGAGTTATATTTGGGACAAATAACACATCCAGAGTAAACTTTTTGTGCAACTGTGAAGGATGGTTTCCAGCAATATTGTTCACACCAGGATATTATTTTATCTGGATTCCAATGAGTTAGATTCTGAACATATTCCATAAGGGCACCTGAAATCCCATTAGAATAATGGGTTTATTATTAGGTTCACACCATATTTCAGTTTTGCGAGACGAGCATTCCCCTGCCTGTTTCCAAGTAGATATCTCTTTTGTAGGAACTATGCTCTATGTTTCTTTCAACATGTTTCTAAGTGTTTTAGGTCTAATGGCCATTTCTTGGATTGGGGCTGGTGGCTTGGATGCTGCTCTTTTAGCTGTGGTGTCAGCCAGTTGGTTACCTGATTTTCTGTGGTGTCTAATTTTGAGTAACGTGGGATTTTTATAATTGCCAAATGTTTTGGTTTTAAAATAGCTTCTAACAGCTCTCATATTTGTTGTCCATTTTTTAATGGGTTGTCCTGAGGAGGTTAAATACCTTCTCTCTTTCCATAGCATCCCAAAGTCATGAGCAATCCTGGAAGCATAGTGGCTGTCAGTGTGTTTGCATCCTTATCTTTTGCCAACTGACAAGCCTGGGTCAGGGCAGTCAATTCAGCCACTTGAGCTGATCTGGCTTGGGGAAGAGAGTCCTCTTCAATTTACCTTCAATTACCCTGAATTTACCTTCAATTACCTCTGTAAGAAAACCACAGCATGCCCTGCTCTAAAATTTCCTTCCTCTTCTGTTAAATAACACCCATCTGTACATCATTCTATCTCAGCATTATCCAGTGGCATCTCTTATAGGTCTGTCCTGGGGAGGAGAAGTCGGTCAGTCATCAGAACACAGACATGCGGCGTTTCATTGGAAGGGCCTGGCAAGGAAGTGGCTGCATTACGATTATTAGAGTGGGAGATAGTAATATTGGAAGATGATAAAAGCAAAGTTTCATAAGAGGCTAACCAGCTGACAGATGTCAAGTATGATGAGAGTTTAGAAGGGTCTCAAGAGAATGTGGCACAAAAATGGTAAGGCGGGAACCCATAATTATTTCTTCAACAGACTTGTATAGGAGGGTGGCAGCTGCTCTTGCTCTCACACAAG